AGATATAGCGATATATATATATAATATAATAAATATTGATAAATATTAATTACTTAACTACATATTTTATTTTTTATTATAAAATGCTTATTAAACCTTTTTATAAAAATATGTATATACCAAGTGTTCAAAATAAAACATTACAAATTTTTATCTCGGAAATATAGCATTATTAAGAAAAATTAAAATCAGTAGACCTTTTTGAACTTTTGTCTGAACAATTTTCTCACTAATACCATGTTTCCGAGATAAAAATTTGTAATACTTTATTTTAAACAATATAATATAATATTTAAAGACCTTATCACTTAATAAATCTAGGTAGGCTTAACTTATATCATAATCTATGTATTGCTATTTAAGTTTAATATTTATAGAGATGTTTATTCTTATTATTCGTATGTATTTATAAACATATGATATTTTCTTTATTTTTGCAACATCATTAAATTCTTAAAATATGAATTATCTTTTAATGTTTATGTTTTGTATTGTTTAACTGGAATAAATTTTATGCGATGTGGATCAATAGGCCGGATCACTAAATCAGCTATTAATCGTACATTTTTTAAATAATCAATGGGCTCTAAGAAGAAATTATGAATCAGAGAGACTATTATTGCCTTTATTTCCAGCAAAGCAAATCGTTGACCTATAATTTGATATATATTGAAACTTGTTTATGTATAAAAGAATATTATTAAATACTTTACCGATGCAGTTACGTGGTCCAGCACTGAATGGTAAATACGAGTAAGGATGACGATTTTGGATCTTCTCAGGCAAAAATCTATCTGGATCAAATATCTCTGGATTTGACCAAAAATTGGGATCTCTATGGACTCCATAGATATTAAGATGCAGCATTGTTTTTGGAGGTAATAAATATGACTCTGAAAACAGAAAAACGCAACATACAAATACATATTAATCGAAAGCTTCATTAAAATTTGAAAAATGAAACATCTGGTCGATTTAACTTAAGCTAGATACATACAATTAGCTTAACAGAAATGTTAATGCGATAATTTCGATCTATTGGAAAATATAAGATTGATATTTAAAAAAGAATATTTTATTCTGAATTATGAATTTGATTGGAAGAATATTCAAATTTTAGATAATGAACCTTTATATCTGAGAAGATCGGTATCGAAAATCGGGAAATGACATATTATTAATAGATAATAAGATCGACTAAACAAATAAAGTGATATTAAACGATTACCGGATAGAGGAGACCGAGGCAAGTTGTTACAATTTTTGATTAGCAATTTTTTTTCACTACTACTTTACTAATATATATATTTAAATTAATGATTTTATGAATTACCTGTGCATTGCTTCAAGTACAGTCTTTAATTAATAATTAATTTTTTTTTACGCAATAAATTTTTTTCTAATTTGTATCTATGTCTCTTTTCTTACAGACTGGTGGCCATCTTTAACTTCCTTTGCCGCTTCCTTTGTCGCATACTTTTCTACAATTATAGATCCTGTTTGTGTTTTTTTTTTTTGTAAGATTATACCATTCCACAGACTTTTATAACTAGATTGCTGATATAACTAGATTCAATAAAAAGAGATAAACCTGATTCCGAGTTGGTCTTCAATTCACGTATGCATATGTATGCGTTCTGTCTATGAATATCGCATAAATTTATGTGAAAACACTAACGTTATTATTCGTGTGATTTATACATGAGAGTGGAATGAACACAAATAAGGCGCTACTCAGCATTATCTTCAACATGGAGACGAAGTAGTCTATTTATAGAAATCTATGCATCAATCTGTAGAAAAAAAAAAATTGTCTTCAATGAGGTAAGTTGTTACACTGTAACCTGTTTCGATCGAAGTAACAACCTTGCTCCAACCTTCTATTTTCAATTCGAAAAAATACAAATCGAAAACCAGTACATATCGATTCAAATAAAATATGTTATTATAATCAAATGTATATAAAAGAAATATACAAAAGAATAATCATATCTCTAACAAAAGATAATCACATACCTCTAACTTATATATATAATAATAACACAAGCGATTTGTACATAGTATAGTATATTCAAAAAGTATCAAGATTGATTTTTTCTAGCCAAGGGGAAGGGATGCAGAATAGTCTCCATGAGCAAGATTATTGGTAAAAGATTTTAAGTATACGACACCATAACCCAGCTCACTTCTCTCTCTCTGAGTCTTTGCAAAGTGTAGATCGCTTCTAGTGTGAACAGTTGTTTTGTAGTGTCAGCAATCAAGATACAACGCACGATATGCAATCAAGTTTTGCATAAAACTGAAAAAATTCTGAGACTTTTGCCATCTGTTCATAGGGAGATTGCTGATACTTGGATTCTCCTGGATCACGACAATGCACCGAGTCACATGTCGCTACGCATAAGGGAGTTTCTGGCGAAGCACAGCGTGGCAACGCTGCTTCTCTATAGTTCAGACCTGACCCTGCCAGACTTCTTTCTCTTCCCTCGGATGAAACAAAATCTAAAAGGACATCATTACTGGACGATGAAAAGAGTGCAAGCAACGTAGTGCCTGAAGAAGATTCCGGTTGCAAACTTCCAAAGGGTATACCAAATATGGCAGAAGCGCTGGCAATGTTGATGCAGAAGGATGTTATTTTGAAGATTTTTAACCCATTGTACATATATGTACACAATAAATTTTTTTTTTATGAATGTAGTCCCGATACTTTTTGAACAGACCATGTACAATGAAATATTTACTTTTAACAGTAAAAATCAAGAAAACGTACGTAACGTTTTCTAAAATTCAAATATAAACGACGACTAAATTAAGTAAAGTTGTAGAATATCATAAGAATCACATATAAAAATTTATAAAAATGTACTGCCATCTATGGCAACTAAAAAACTGACTATAACGACTTACCCTGGTCTCTTTTACATATCTCTTCATTTTAGACTTGCTTTCTCCTATCCAAGTGTTACACCCCGATTTTGATAAGCTTTGAGTATATTGTAATTTAGATCAAAAGAAGACGTACATATTTTTTTATTCGCCCTTATATTTTTGAGCTAATACTGTCGAAGCGGTAAAAAATATAAATAAAAATTTTAAATAAAAGTTTTATGGTTTTTAATATATTTTATAACAGTTCATTTAGATTTTTCGAAAATGTCTTTCTTTTCTAAATCCTCCTACTCTCTTAATTTTTGAAAATTAAAAAGTTCGTCCTATAGCTACTATAAAACTTATAGTATATTTAACGACAAATATAATCATATATAACAAAGTTCTATTGCGAAGACATTTTTTCAAAAATAAGTTATATATATCTTTACATCGCTATTCACGCGCCCTAACTGTATCCGCTGCCATGGCATCTATTGCTATATTTGCTTTTTTAAAAATGTTTTTCTTATACATATAAATACATTCTGAAAAATCTTACGATATAATTTTATCATACATGTATTAGAACAAATTTTTAAATTTTCAAAAATTGGGGAGATAGGATTTCGAAGAAAATAAAATTTTCAAAAAAATTTAAGTTAACAGTTATAAAGTATATTAAAAACCATAAAACTTTTATTTGAAACCTTTTTTATGTCTTTACCATTTCGATATTAGCTCAGAAATATATAAAAACTGATTTTTTTTTTAAGAAGGTGTTTTACTCTCTTAACGACCATATGAGCAAATATAAAAAAATTCATGTCTCTTATTTTGACCTATAGATTACAACATACTCAAAGCTTATTAAAATTAAAATGTAATATTTGGATAGATTTACTTGTTAGTTATGTTTTCTGTATTCATATATACATATATATATA